AGCTATGAAGGATTCAGTGCTTCACATATTGGGTATTTCATTAAATAGGACATAAATTACCGGTGTCTTGTGGGATAAAAGTTATGTAAAAATCCATAAAGATCCCAAGTTCTCTGCTGAAGACACTTCAAAGAACATACTACAAAATAATTACAGAAATGGCCTGTTACAGACCATACAATACACTTAGCAGTATGCTGGTTTATAACATGGGGGAAACTGATCCTAAGCATTACTTCCAGACTTTAAATAACAGATTCTAATTTTTGAAAATATTTCGTGTGGACATCCGTTACATAAAACCTGTGGTACTTGCAGAGCAATTTCAACAGCTTAGCTATGACTGAACACGCATCTTTCATAACTTCGTTGGTGGCTTCAGTCTACCTCCAACAATTATTGCTTTAATAAGTATTTCTTGCAAATGAAAAATCCATCATTGTAGTCATTATGCAATAACATGTTTGTCTGTTACTATAAAAATACCAAAATAAATCAAAGGTGCTGACTGTTTTTTCTGCAAATTTAAAGATGGGCATGAAGTTCTCCAGAATGTAACAGTTCCTAGCTGTTAAAAAACATTGTAGTTTTAAGTAAATCATAGTGAAGTAAATCAAATGTGATTGCCAGTAAATCACAGTTAACCTTTGTTGGCTATTGGAACAATGGTTGTTCAAGTTCCAAGTTTAGATCAAACCGATAATATTTGGCACCAATACAGTGTTTTGTGTGTCCAAATAGCACGTGGAAATTAATTCTCTCACTACTACTGCGTAGTGTCCAAGACAAATGATATTTGACAGTGATTGTTATTTGCATTACAGCAGAGCCTGCAAGCACTAGTCAAGAAACTACTGTATTAGACCCAAATGACCGTTCCCGTCTCAGAGAGCTTACCGCAGATGTAGAGAGAGGTGACAGCTGGACGTAGACACACGGAAGGGCACAGTGAAACAGCGAGACAATATTCATTAGTACAATAACTTAAGATTCACAGTACACCAGTAGCTTCACACATTAAACTTCTGTAGACATCAAAGCAAAGGTTTTAGACAAAGGTTTTAATGAGGGATTCAGAGGACACCTAGGAGGGAATTTTTCAGAAATTTATGCAACAGGTTTGCCAGGAACAAGGGGCAATTGGAAACAGAGCATAAAAATGCTTATTCAGAAATCTAAAAAGGGAGAGGGGGAGAAGATGAAGGTTGACCTGGGGGGATGATCAGACCAGGGGATGGCTTCTTGATTTGAGTAAGAGGGAGGGGGTAACAACAAGCTCTGGAAGCAATGCAAAAGCGCAGAGAGCATCTTATATTTAATGCAAGAGAGATGGCAGAGCCAGAGCAACACCACAAAGGGGGCAGTGACCAGTCAGAGACTAGCGAACAACCTACACTCCAACTTTCTGAACGGCTGTAAAATGCAAGCTGCCCAGCTGTCAAGGACCAAGAAAGAGATGCTGCTATAACTGAGATCGGTATGAGGAGAGCTTGGATTAGATGGCAAGTTGCTTGACCAAGTAGAGAAAACAGTAAGAAATGCTGTAGAAGACAGAATGCGAGCTTGGGACAATGCCAAAATTGGAGGTTTCAAGGGGGGCATCCAAGTCAAAGCTACTGACAAAGAGAAATCTCACTAACAAAAAGGATGGTAGCCGTGCTCCTGCTGAAGCAGGAAGGCAACTGTGAGGGGTACTCAGCATTCCAAAAATATCTTTTCTTGAAATCTACAAGCACTTACATTTCCCACTCAGCTGATCACCCACCGTTACACCTAGATCCTTCTCAGAATCTAACGTCCTGTAAGTATGGTCTGTACGCATCATCCTGCAAAACGCCTTTGGATCTTTCAAGGTGAAAAAGCATTACAGCCAGAAAGACAATTCTTGGACCTGTTAAGTGCCAATCATTCAGAATTCCTCTGCTACTATTATCCTTGTGCAAAAATCTAACCCTATTCTTACCTTTGTGCAAAAGGCACATCATAAACTGAAGCCTTGGCAGTGCAAGTAAATCCCAACTATTCTTACGCACACAACAGTTATGGATAAAACCGCTGGGATTTTTGGAAGAAATAACTATCCATCTGTGAAACAAGGACTGGATGGAACTGAAATACACAGATTAGCAAAAGACACATAAATTCACGCTGAAAAATATCGCCGCGTTTTAGCTCATGCTCTCCATGTTATCACCTGGAATACCTGACATCCTGCAAGGTTCAGTGTGAGGAAGAAGTAAACGAGGAGGAAGAATGCAACAGAACAACTTTTTTCAGAGGACAAGTCTATAGGATTGTCATGCTAGTAATAACAAATCTCAGCAAGAGGCATCAGTGTGGCATGCTAGAATACTTTTAAACAGAGGACAAAACCTAAGAGAACCATTCTATCTATTTTGTTTTTCATAAAGCTTCATTCTATTTTGATAGACACATAACCATGAATATCCTCGTGGGCATTTTAAAAGCTGTAATTTCAATTCTGAGGTTTTGCAAGCTTTGTTTTGTGTGGTGTATGATATCACAAACATCCTGAATATAATTACCATAGTAATTTTGTGGGCTATATTTTCCCTCTTTGTAGCCCAAAGCCAATGTTTACAAAAACTTTTCAGCACGCTTATTTGATTTGAACTTTTTATTATTATTACAAATGTATATTATTTTATTAAAAAAATTCACACTGAAGCAAAGTCAATTCCATTTCATTACAACCAAGAATATAAAATAAATGCAATGAACTCATAGTTTAGTTTTAACAGTCATTTCAAGAGTGACGTCAGGACAACTTAAAAGCAGTAAACTCTTAACTCTAGAATGAGAAACAAATATTTTGCTTTGTGGTTTTGCTACCCCATCGGCATGGGCACTGCTGAACGTGGCCACCACAGATCTAAAGCGGCAAAGTTTTGTGGCAGCATGAGGCGCATACACAACAATTTCTAATGAAAACTACAAAAATGAAAGATGCGTGCCTGAAATTATTAGGAAAAAAATAACTGAAGAGAGACAGGCACACTTCCACAAATAGTAAACATGGGAAAATACAACTAGAACAATTTGAAAAGTATACTACCTTACATATATAAAAAGTTCTTTAAATTGCTGTTAAAAAGGACATGTTCTGTCCACATTTTGTGTAATACTTTTTAGTGTCTACACAAGACAAATTTTTAAAAAAATTAAATAGTATTAATTTACTACTAAATATTTAGGAGATAACAGTGCATTAAGGACTTTTTTTTCATATAGTAATACACATCGCTCCTGTCCGGCGACATTTTTAGAAGATTACGTATGGCCTTATGTACAATACCTTTATTTAATCCTAAAGCAGTTCTTTGCTTAATGGTGTTAAAGTACCATTCCTGAAGATTATGAAGGGGAACTAAGCTTATTATGTTTATATAAAATATTATACATATTTGAACCCTTCTAGCGTCCCTCCACCCCTCCCTCTACGAATGCGCTTCCCCCCCTCCCCCAGATACAGTGTCACAGATACAGTGCAGGACTCGCAGCTTCCCCTTCCGTTTTCCTTCCTTGTGCAGTTTGCGCTACATAAACTTCACCAACGCGGACTAGGCTGCTAATCCCATTCCTCGCTCATCTCTTTCCCCCGAGCTAAAAAAAACGGGCCCGCTCTGCCACGGCGCCGACGGGAAGGAGCAAACGACTCCGGCGGCGGCGCTTGCCTCTCTCGGTACCAGCGTGAAACACTTTGGTGAGGGTATCAAGGGCAAAGACAAAGCTACGAATACTAACAAAACTGCACAGACGCAAAAATAATATAAAGACGATGTGGTCCTGGCTTCCCACAATACACTATGTGACTCACTTTGAGCAGAGCGTTTTTACCTCATGAAGGCACCCCTGAAAAGCACGGCTTCTTTCACTAGGACTGCCATCCGCCCTGAACACACGCATACAGCTCCCAAGAAAAGGCAAATTATTTCACAACCAGAAGACAGAAAGCAACTGGAAGAGTGTGCACAGCGTACGTTTTACCGCAATCGCTTTTGCTTTTACCTACTCTCCTTCCAGCTGTCAGCTTGCAGGCAATGGAGAAGTCAGCTCGGCTTTGCACGTGTGCACACAAACCAGAGAGGGCTGGCGCGTGGGACGTCTCTCGGGTCTCACAAACGCAGAAATATCACTTCAGCTTAGACAAAGGTCCTGGCAGTCGCTCTAGAAGCTGGAAGCTCACTGAATTAAAGCATCTTACAATGCTGTGCAATTTCACACTATAGACACAGACTAACCTACACCGCGATTTTGCCTTATTGGCACGAGAGCCCAGCTTGACCGTACGGTAACAGGTCTCCCTACCACCTCCTGCCGTTACCTGAATTTTGATGAACAGCTACAGGTTGCAGCACGGGGTGGGGACAAATGTTAGATAATTATAAAGGAAAAGACGAGGGGATTTTGAGAGAACGGAAGGGTGAAAAGCACAGGAGGGGACAAGAATCACTCTGCCAAAGGTTAATTTCCAGAAAAGAGAAAGTCAAATCGCAAGAATATCAACAAACGGTTGATTTTATGGCGTTGGCCAAGTCTCTGTTAGCTGAACGGTACCTTTTCCTAACATCAGTAAGAGGTGGAAAATTCCATTTAGGGAGAGAATGTAACCCCAGATTCACTGAAATAAAATAAAGAAGCAATTAAAATCCATTCCTGCAAACAGGCTACCAGGGTAGGGTACAACACAAGAAAAGTACCCTTTGGGAGATTATTTTGCCCTAGACATAATTTGTGACTTTTTTCCCTTCAAATTGCTTCTTTTCATTTTCACTAGCTTCTCACCCACTTGATGATAAAAAGCAGATTTTAGCCACTTTTCCAGAGAAGCTGGGTCTTGTCAAAAACCACATGATGGCGAACGCGGCCAAACCAAACCAACCGCTCACAAAAGGCATGAAAACAACACATTTTTGAGGGGGGCGTGGGCACTAAAGGTGATTGGGAGATCAAACCCAGTAGAAACAAATGCATTTCTCTTGTCTAGCTACGATAAAAAGCATTCTCCTCAGAGCAAGCAGATCTGCTAATCTTGCTAGGTCTGATCCTAATTTCAGTGTGAATGCGTACCGGTATATACAATTTCTTGCATGGTCCCTGGACAGAAGGGAACACTCAGCAGTATAAACGCCTGGCACATTTACTGTTCACGTATAAACCCTTCTTTCTTTCTTCACCTTTTCCCTGGACAACCAATTTTAGGAGCCTGCTGATCTTACACTGCTAGTAGCTTTCTAAACGCGTTAAATGGTTTTTTTTTCCAGGTTTTCTGAAACAAGAATCAGCCCTATTTCTAAAGGCTGAAGGAAAAATGAAGCTGCCCCAAATTACATGTTGCGTCTCTCCGAATAACTGCGGTTGCAGAAGTTGGACAATGATCCTCTGATTATGCTTATGAACTCTGCTTATTTACTTGGCTTTTCTGCCAGCTACCCATCCACTTACAGTCCTTAGGCACAATCAAAACATGTTTGCTCTAGGGAAAAAGAAACATTTCAGTGCAATCAAGCGCATCTGGTGTAACTAATCTGGGTTAATCACAGCAATGTTGAGGGAAATAGAATATGCATTATAAACATGAAAAAGGAACAAATTTTCAACATGCTTTTCAAACTGCACAGTAATTTTTCTTAATTATTCATTCCAACATAAAATGATTAAATGAGTTTGCTTTTGTAAATCTTAGCATTTCTGTTACCTTTTTATTTAGGAAACTGACTCAGGGATGTGAAAGAGAAGCTTAATTTATAGAACTCTCATATACATTAATCAGCTGTTTAACAGAAAAACAAGCCCATCATCCACACTCCTACTGAGACTTGAGGGCAGTAAATACATTTTCCTGACTATTTTGGTGTCCAGCCTGGGAAGACATTCCATTCTTCTGTTCCAATGGATCCTGAAAGCATCTCCTTTTTACGTGACTGTCACGGTTTCATTTAAAATAACACTTAAGTTAAAACCAGTCAGAGCATGATCACTGTGATTTCAAGAATTCAATGTGAATGAGTTGAGAAATATCAGCAATCTTCTGTTTGGTGTTCAGTCCAGTAGCATATTCGAAGCATATTTGTCGCTGCAGAGAGTTGGGTTGCTTTTTTTTTTTCCTTTTTTTTTTCTTTTCGCTTTTTTTTCTTTTCTTTTTTCTTTTCTTTTTCAGTTTTAAGACCTCGCCTGAAAACTAGACTAATAAAAACAGAATAGTAAAATACTCTGGAACAGTAAAATTTGCTGTTCTTGACATCTATGAGCAAAACAGTAATATCCTGTGAAAATAAGATAGTGCTTTAAAAAGGTGCAATATACCTGTATAGCTAAACTGGTTTGCCTAGTATAAAACTAACTATATACAAGCTTGAAAGCCTGGGAGTTCAAGATTTTAAAACTTTAAAATCCCAAAGAGATTTGAAAAGACCGATTTATGGCAATCACTACAGCATAAGGAAGGTGCACCAGGAATCCTTCAAAATTCCAAAGGTTAAAGAAGTTAAGTGCTGGGTTCAGATCAGAAGGGTTCATTAGAGTAACCACAATGAAACACATGCAAGGGCAGGGAAGAAGGAAAACTTCACAAGAATCTCCTTTATGGCAATAAAGGGACAGAGTTTGAGGTGGGGGGCGGGGAGGGGAAGAAAAAAGTCTTCAATAAGTAAAGTTTTCCTTTTGTAATTATGAATTAATTCTGCATCATAGTTTGTATTTTTGGTTCTTCTCGTCGTTATGAACTTCATATTGCTGGAGTCTTCTGGCTTTTAGTCCATTCCTTTGAGTGCAGTCTGTCAGGCCTCTCAGTACCTGTGAGACTGATGAGATTGATGGTACTGAGAGCTCTGCTGAGATGATGTGGAATAGCCCATTGTACTCTGGGACTGAGAAGATCCCTGAATGTTGCTTTGGTAACTCAGGCGTGAGCTGGAGTGCTGGAGAAAAAGAGAAGGGGTTTAGGGAATGAAAAACAGCCTGTTAGGACTATGCAGCTCAGGAAACTTCTAATCTCTCCAAAGCTCATTAAAATTTAACTGTTGGAGAAACTAACTCAACGGTGTTACTGTTTAAGATCCCATAGAATAAGTTATCAACCTGCAATATTAACACAGCACACAAAATATGCTAGGTCGCTGGCAGACACCTGGAAGTGCAGCATGTACACATCAACTTTCTGAAGGAAAAATATACAACATAAAAGAGAGATCAGATTCCTTTCTGAATTTCAATTGTTTCTGAAACTTATGTCTATCATGATTGTACAGAACTGTTAAATTAATGCAATGACAAACAACTGTTAGGGACACACACTTTCCAAGATGGGTAGAACTAAAAGCTGCAGAGCAACAATGCATTCTATTGCTGAGAAAAAGACAACCATGCCTACCTAACCAGACTTACCTAACTTGAGAAAATGTCTGGTAAATTAAAATGATACAATCTTAGGCAAGTCTTTCAACGTGCTGCTTTATCAACTGGCAGCAAGGTACCTGCCTAAAGGTGGGCATGTGCATTTGCAACACCCTAACATTCATTTCCCTGAACGTTCTTTTTTCCACTGTTTGAGATGTTATCTCAGTGGACCCCAACCTCGGCAAGCCAAATCCAAGGAGCACTTGCTACCTCCAGCCTGCTTAAATTGCATATTTATTACCATATTCACTCCCTATCACGCATTAATAATGAGCTGCATCAGTAGTTCTTCTCTGTTTCACACACTACAAATCACTGTTTGCATTAATAGCACTGATCAGCGTACAGGAGCCTCTCTAGCAAGGCAAACCCCATTGCAGTCCACAAGAAAAGAAAGTCCCTGAGAAATAATCTGTTCATAGTTTGCAAGCAATTTGTTTTCAGCCAAGTTAAGAGCAGGAGCACATACTCATTCAGCAAGGAGTCCTGTTCACTGTCTAGGTGATGGCTCTACGCAGCTGTGCCTGAGTCACCAGCAAGACTGCAGCCAACAATAATCCTCCACAAAAAGTGTTAAGGGTCTATATTCTGATCAAAATATCAAAATTATGATTTACAGAGACCCTGCGAAAGAGTTTGATTCCTCAACGGAAACCCGGTGGAGAAAGCGGGTCTGTGAGAGTACAGCATTGTCCACACACCAAGAGGCTATTCAGCGAAGGCAGTACCCAAGCCAGCGGTCGGTCTCATCTAACAACTGGATCCCAACTAGGAGAGCTGTGAAAGCAGCCTGACAGCTTTCCACCTAGATGACGAAGACTAAGAACCTCAAGTATGGGCAGTGTAAAACACTTCTGCCCTTTATGCATAGTTTACATAGAAATATAGCTTAAGAGTTCAGTCTTGTGGCCCACTGTATCTCTGTATAATATCAACATACCCCTTAGGCTGTATGGAGTGGCTTCACTTGGTCGCAAAGGTCAGTTTGGCAGATAATAGCTCGGGACATTGGCTTTGGAAGAGATGTCTCTCAGTGGCAAGTATGCTGCTAATAACAAGATTATGCTTAGCATGCATGGTTGGATGGCTGAAACAATGCCTCAAACCTGGAATTTGTCTCAAAATTCTTAAAGTTTTTGCAATGTTTCACAGGAGAGAATTACGACTATATGACATAGGAACTAGTTCTGGATGAAAAGCATCAGCTTACAGTGCTAAGCAAAAAACCAAGGCCACATAAGGAGTGCCCAGTAAAATTAAGGAATTGCACTGTCATTTGTAGAAGCAACAGACTGCTGTGGGTGAGGTACAAAATATTTTCAACAGAGATTTTAGATTACAGGCTAAACGAACCCCAAAGCAGAGGGATTCTTCCTCCTATTTCTGACTAAGATATAATGGATTAAATTAATGCCATAAGACGACAAGAACACATTAACTTGCCCCTGCTTATTTTAGTTCCACAGAAGAGAATTTGTTTTAACAAAGTCAGACTTGGACAAATTGCAGACATTCCTTTCTGGAACAGAAGAGAGCCAGCTAGAATTAAAGGGCCGATAGCCAAACACAAGTGTAAAAATGGATAATCAGACCATACAATTTAGCAAGTGACGTAAAGGGAACATATAGATCATTAACAGCACAGGCATCAGAGTCTAGAAGGAAGGAGTCGTAGGGGGTAAAAAATCATCTAATTATCTCAAAAGAAGAGATTTAGACTGCCAACAACTTGTAAGAGGGAAGCGTGCCAACAATTCTGAGAACTTTATAAGGATTCTATAATGGATATCATCAAGCACAGCACACCAGTCCCCAAAATATAGACCAAAACAGGCCAGCCATAAATACCATGTAGTCAGACAGCTGCAGGGGTCTGTCCAGACCTCAAGCCTGTCTGGAACTTTTCAAAAAAGAAACCTAGCTGTCTTTACCCTTAAATTGCCCTCAGTGTCTTCACGAGCATTTGTAATTAAGAGTAAAACAGAAATCGGAGAAAAACGTCTGGCACGGAGAAATCAATTGTTTGTGGAGGAGGTCTGGAAGACTAAGTCAAAGCAACTCCAGAGATGATTTTTTTTTTTTTTTTTTAAGAAAGTTCCTTATTTTAAGTTAAAAGCAGCCCGAAAAGACCATATCCAAGGTGAGACCCTCTCAAAACACAGTAGCAGATATAATCCTTAACGTCTTGTAATATCGATCTATCTTTTGTTCTATATTTATAGCAAGTACAAAGGCACAAGTACTCAAGAGCCCGGTTCATCCAATGCTTTGTATATTTAGTGCAAGACACTTTTTCAGCAGAGAGCAATCATAATTCTAGCACACAGGTATGCAAATTCAAAAATAATTCCGTGATACTGCTTTTACTTATGAATTCTAACATTACTGTACCAGAAAATACGAAATCTATTCAACTCTGGTCATATCAGAAATGATGTGCGTGTTGGTGCCCTGCTTCAGCATGAATCATACTGATGCACCACTATATCATTCCTGTGCTACCATGCAGTTTTTCTTTAAAACTAGAAGTACAGTTAGCAAAAAAGTTACAATAAACTACAGAACTGCTCCATGCATGTGACAAGATAAGCTAGAATGGAGTAAAAATGAAATGAACGAGCCTAGTACTAGCTTGGCTTCTGCTTCTCAGGATGTGCTTCTCACACAGGACTTCCTCTTGCCAAGAGGCACACAGCATCTAAGTGCATGCAATGGTTCCACTGATTTCAGCAAAACTATTCTCAAACACAGAGCTAAGTACATGGTTAAGTGCTTTGCTGGAGTGGGCCAGTCCTCAACACCAGGGAACCACTGATAAGACTCCTATCGGTACTCTGTTGAAAATTACTGACTACAGAACATAACCTTTTTACTGCTGTAATAGGATTTAAACCCACATTTTTATCTAATACATCAGAGCATGCCTGCTCATGTTAAAAGGAAAAGTCAGCATAAGATGATCTGTTCTTGGGGTGGGGAAGGGAGAAGGCAACACTTTGGCCCTTCTGTGTCAAAAGCCATAAAAATTCAAGAAGGTACCTGATAATCTGAAGGCATGACAGGCCCGCCCGAGTTAGCGCCTGAAGGCCCTATGCGTGGTTTCTTGGTTGGAGGCACCTGGTTGAGGCTGGAGTCCTGACTGTGCTGGAGTCCCGTGCCAGCGCCCCCTCCTCCCGCGCCGGCGCCGCCGGCCGTGCCGTTGGTCTGGGTGCTGTTCTGCTGCT